ATTTAATTTAAGTTTAATAATGAAATAATTTATTTTTGGTTTAATAATATATCATTTTATAAATATAATAATTAAGTATTTTGTTAGAACTCAATGATTATCCTAATTATATTTTAGATTTTTTGTATTTAAAATGAAATATTTATTCTGTATTTGATTGTGTTTATCTGCAGTTAGTTACACGAATTCAGTTATGGGATGAAATCGGATAGGGATGAAATTGTTTAGGGATGAACGAGTTTTAGAGTTTTAAGAGTTTAAGAGTTTTTAAGAGTTTTAGCCAAATGCTTTATAATATAGTATAGATATGTTATTTTTTAATACAATTTATCGTAAAATAAATTGATGCCCCGTTTTGATTTGGTACAAATTGCGAGTCGGACTTCAAGAAGAGCCCATTGGGTTACCAAACCCGGGTATAAACCGATGACTAGATCAAACGGGTTGACCCGAAATCATTAAGAAGAACCCTTTTTTGAGAGACATTGATGGATTTTGCTTCTCATGAATCGAAGCATATAAAACTGAAGCCAAAAGCCTGTCAGTATCAGTATCAGTAGAAGAGGAGATCATGAACTTGAATGTAAACTCAGTAGATTCACTGGTGGCTGAAATTCAAGGGTTATCAGGAAGTACTCAAGATGTAAATCACTTGAACAATCTTTTGAAACAATCGGAGGACGTAATCCGGTCTCAGGCTGCAACTTTTGCGTCATGTCTCACTCGACTTGACGCTTCCCTTCATTCACTTGGTTACCTCTACGTTCTGTAAGTAGTTTTTATGTAATTCTTATCTGTTGCCTTATTTCTGTCAAGGATGGAATCAATTTCACGAGATTTAGGGTTTTTAGTGATTATATTTTTTTGGACATCAGTAACTTACTTTTTCTTGTTAGTATGTATCTGCTGAGTGTTGATTTGTGTTGTTTGTTTCTCTTGAATTTGTGATCGTTATTTATTTTGCCTGTCCGCATGCATCTGCTGATTTTTGAAACGAATGGCTTACTTCTTTTGATTTATGTTATCATGTTGAGCTTTGCAATCCTGTGATTTACTTTTTTTTTCATTGTTTTATGCTGCTTACTTTGCCGGTTTGTATGCTTCTACTAGGTTTTGAGGTGGGTTAAGTTCATATCTATTGTAGTATGAATAATGCCTGTAAATAGCTGTCTGCAATGAGCAAGTGTTGTAACCACATGCCTTTGTACTACTTGTTATCTCCTAATAGTTGGATGATGCTTGACTGTGAGTACTCCTGACTACATTTGTTGAATGTTGGTTCTTCTTGTCTCTAAGAAAAAATAGCAGCACCCACTTTCCGACTGAAGCCTTGCCGGCTATTGACTCTTATATAAGGAAAAAAGTAGGAAAGGAGGAAAATGAATCAAAGAAAGTTCTTTGGGTACAATTATTGATATGCTCATCACAAGAAAGCGGCAAATGACCTGGTGTCTATTTTTTTACAGGGAAGCATGTACAGCAGGTCCAATTCCAGAAGCACAGGCAAATGAACTAGTTCTATCTGTTGTCAGATTTATAGATATGTGCAGTGTAGAGCAGATCCGTTTGGTGCCCGACAAATGTATGGTTCTACCTTTTCAATGTATTATGTATATACACCTCCTACTGGATATTCACTTGTATGCCATATTGATGAATTATGAATTTATCATGTTGGTGCAGTTATATCCGTTTGTAAAAGATTGCATGAGCAAGTAATGGTTCTTGGTGCCCCTATGAGAGCTGTGGCACCTCTGCTGACTGCTATTCGCAAGATTCAACTGTCCTCTGAGCATTTAACTCCTTTACATCCAGACTTTCTCCAAGTCTGTTTGTCCGCGAAGTGTTATAAAATTGGTTATAGCATTTTGGAGGATGATATACTTGAAGTTGATCAACCAAGGGACTTTTTTCTATACTGCTATTACGGGTGAGTTAGTCTGATCATATTGTTATCATTTGGAGAATATTAGGAGTATTTTCTCTATTTACTTCATGTACATTTGAAATTGTGAATTATTGCTTCTTAGACCGGAATCAATTGTTCTATCACTTAAACCATATGGCAAATCTTCATATATACTGATGTTCACATTAAATGAAGTGGCTCGCTTTTGCCTACTTATACTTATATCCAAATCAAATTATTTGATCTATGATTATTTGACCTTCTATCTTGTCCATGGTGGGAGGTAATACATTACCAATAACGAATATTGCTAATCTTCATGCTCTATTTGGTTAATTGCTAGGGGGATGATTTGCATAGGACAAAAACGTTTAGCCAAAGCATTGGAGCTCTTCCACAATGTGTGTTAATCCGCTATTTCTTGCCTTTTCAATTGACTAATTTCTCTTACATTTTGTTTTATTTTACATACATAATATAAGTGTTATATTTGTTTGGTTTGTTCGTGATTCTTGCTCCATCGTCTCTTCAGGTGGTAACTGCTCCTATGTCTTCCATGAATGCTATAGCTGTTGAAGCGTACAAGAAATACATACTGGTTTCACTCATTCACCTCCGCCAGGTGTGTTTCGCATACTCATGAGTCATGAATATGAATTCCAAAATTATATTGGCTCATGGCATAAGGAATCTGTGTATAAGAACATGCAATTGTATTTGTTAGTTGGTTTGCAAAAACATTAATTGTCTTATGGGGAGCAGCATATTGATGTTGAGGGGAGATATTATGCTGTTTCTTATGTATACTGCAAGCATCTAAATTTTTTTAGCATCATTTGCTGGAAATTTTGCGTCATGTACAAGCCAGGTGTCCTAATGGAAACAGCCTATCGATCCTAGTAGTTGAGGTGCGGTGTACATCCTACTCCTCCCAGACCCTACTTTCGAGTGGGATGTACCGGGTTTGGTTTGCTGAAAATTTCAGCCGAAACACAATATTTAATGGTTGTTATTATCTGCATCATAGCCATCTTCAATTCTTTATACAAGTTATAGTCTAAAAGTTCGATGACCAGGTCTATTTTACTACTATCACCTGAATGAGGTATTGAGGTCTTAACTTTATCAAACCATGGTAGCTTCTCCTTAGTGGTCAATTATAGTTTTGTTGCTGAATGCAGTTTTCTGCCAGTTTTCCCAAGTATACTTCTTCAGTCGCTCAAAGGAATCTAAAGAATTTCTCTCAGGTAATTTCTAGCGTCTCTATAAGAATACATTGTTGCTGTATATGTATATCACCATGTATATTATAGCTCGTGCATGCTTTAATAATATCACCAGCAGCCTTGCCAGCTACATAATGCACCACTCACCTTAATAGTTTCTTTTCCGTTCCAAGTAGCCGTACATTGAGTTGGCAAATAGTTACAGCACCGGAAATATTTCAGAACTTGAGGCATTTGTCCAAGCGAACCAGGAGAAGTTTGAGAATGTGAGTTCTTTACTTTAGCTTATAGTTTCATCGTGCTACTTTTGCTTTTCAAGTTATAAACATTGAACAAATGTAAACGATCTACAATTTTTCCTTTGCAGGGGAACAATCTTGGATTGGTAAAGCAGGTTGTGTCATCTATGTACAAGCGGAACATTCAGAGGTTGACCCAGACATATTTGACTTTATCCCTCCAAGACATAGCAAACACCGCACAGATAAATACCCCTAAGGAGGCTGAAATGCATGTGCTTGAAATGGTAATTAGAATATGAACATATGTTTTGGTATATTTCACTCCCAACATTCTCAATTTGAAGGTTTTTAACTTGTCTTTCATTTCGTACGCTATTGAAATTTAAAAGATTGAGGATGGCGAGATCTTTGCAACTATCAACCAGAAGGATGGAATGGTTAGGTTCCTTGAGGATCCTGAGCAATATAAAACATGTGAGATGATTGAGCATATTGATTCATCGATCCAAAGGTACGATATTCGGATTGCTAAGGTTTATGATCATGTACTATAGAGAACTCAATAAATACGTTAATTACATTAGTTTTGAGGACTTGCCATTTTATTTCCCTATCACACAAACATACACAATACCACACATGCTGACAAGAAGCTTGTTCTTGCCTTGGTAGATTGTTGATGTTTACGATGCATGTAGTTTGGTATAGACTTGAGAAGCATCTAGATCACTTTCCGGCCACACAACACTTTATCTTTCAACTACGAACATACCTGGATGAAGCAACTTTGTCTTCTGACCATTTAACACTTGTAAACTACATCATTCTTAAGAACTTGACATTGAAATTTAAGTTAATATCACATTTTAACCAAGGAAACAGAGAGATGCAAAAGATCTAGAATTTGCTTCATTTTGGAGAAGAGCCAGCCTATTTAATAAACAATTCTAGTTCATGATGATAACTTAACTAAATGTCACATGGCAAAAGTTAATGACCTCTTTGGACATTTTGCACAAGAAGTGAAAAGTACTAATCTGCCCCTACAACCATGAAGAACATGCAAAACAGAGTTTTTGAGCCTCTGAAGCAATGTTAACCACTAAACTGAAGCATATTTGCTCAATAAGATATATACTCTTTATTGTTCATATCTGCCCCTGGGTGACTGGGTTGGAGGTGTGTATTGGGTCCACAGACCTGCCTTGGACAAAAAATAACAATGTAAAGGCCCATTGATTCAGAATGAGCAAGCCATACTTTCATTGATTCAAAGCGAGATCAATAAGCCCATTACCATCTTCAAAATATTCTATGCCCAAATAATACTTGAGTGCTTTTAAATCTTTGATGCTGAAAGCATGATCAAGAGATCTCTTCATTTGAGCTATAATGTTAATGTCATTGCCTGCAATTAGTACATCATCAACATATACTAAGATAACCCAAACACCATTATGAGGTCAAGAGAGTAATCACCATGACTCTGAGCAGGGACGGACCCAGGCGGTGCATGTGGCGGCATGGGCCACCGCTTCTTTACTCCGTTGTAGTGTAAAAAATTGTAGGGTCGTGAAAAGTGCCACCATATCAGTCTGTTGTGTGCCACCATATCAATCTGTTGTGTGCGACCGTATATATTTTGAACTACAGTGAGGACACAAGTTTCCCTTGGTAAAGTTGGTTTGGAAGGCTTTTCTTCCACCTCAGACCCGAGTTGGAATCCCGTTAGTGTCATTTTTTCTTGCTTTAAATTTTAGATTTATTATGTTTCTGAAATTTTTTGTAATAGAAAACTTGAACACGGGATCTCACGTATGGAAAGCAATGAACTAACCAACAGACCAATGATCATTTTGTGAAAAATATCCTATATTTGTTTCTTATAGTTAAATGGTGCAACCACTTGAATTTTTTTTAGGTCCGTCTCTGACTTTGAGGTATCTTGTAGCCAATAAAAACATAGTTAACCTTGCGGACATTGGCAGATTGCTTACTATTCAACTAATTTGCACATTGTTCTTGAACCATTGGGCTCATAATCTGCTGGCAAAGCCGAATATACTTCCTCCTCTCAATCTCCATGCAAAATGTGTTATTGGCATCTGATTGCTAAATAATTCAACCTTTATCGACAACAGCAAGTAAGCAACACACGATGATCATTTAAGCAATCAGTGTAAACATATCTTTATAGCCAATTCCCGTTGTTTAATCAAAACCCTTTTCTAGCAGACTTGCCTTAAACCTCTCGACTTCTCTGTTGAGTTTATTTTTGTACTTCTATAATCCCGTTTTCAGCCAATTGCTGTCTTCCCAGGAAGTTATGTGGCTAGAATCCATGCTTTATTGGATCTAAGGTCCTGTTTGGTTTGTAGGATTGGAATGAAGCAGACATCTGCACCCTTCCCCGCCTTTTTTTTGAATCTGGGGTGAATATCTCAATACCCGAGCTTCTGCTTTCCTTGTGTTCTTCAGCGGCTTTCGCCCCATCCATTGTAGTTGCTTCAGAAAGATAAATTGGAAGGTTGGGCGATCTCGTAATTGAATTCCAATCCAATCCCATGTTTGGTTTGAAGGATATCATGGACTTGAAATCCTGGGATTTCATTGAAATCCCACAAACATAGGATTTTGAAATCCCACAAACATAAGATTTTGAAATCCCATGGGGGTGGTTGGTATTTCATGGGATTTCGTAGGGGATTTGTATATAATAATGTTTTAAAATATGTTAAAAACATTTGTTTTGTAATGATCAATTAATTATTTTTATAATTTGTTTTTATAACTTATTATAAATAATGAAATTCCATTCCATTCCAAATCCTACAAACCAAACGCACCAAAGATTCCAGATCCCTAAAAACCATTCCATCAAACCAAAAGCCCCCTTAAGAGTATTGATCTCTTTATCCGGGTTTTTTACTCATGTGTAATCCTTAAGTGCTTCAGCGTATGTAGTGGGTTTTAGTTATAGAGGAAACAGAGTATAGAAAGTGTTGATGGCAACTGGAATGTTCTCGAAAAGAGCGTATTTGGTGTGATGGTACTTCGGTTGGAATCTGAAACAACAGAATGTACAAGGGAAGGTGGTAAAATCAAGTTGATAGTCTTTGAATTTGGTGGGTAGCTTTCTCTCTCTGGCAATGAGACTAGTATGAGAAAGAGATAAGAATGGTCATCATCAACTGGTCAAGGTTTGGAGAGTACAGAATGTAGATGATATGTCCAGAAATATTGTTTGGATAGGTGACCAAGGCGTCCAAGGATTCTGATTCAAGAGTGGAATGGAAATAATTTTTCTTTGCAGATAACATATCTGCTGGTAACGATTTTGTGATCATCAAGTTTTGAGCAATATATACCCCCTTTGTTGTGAAGGATAGCCAATATATACCCCCTTTGTTGTGGGGGGGCCTTTTACCAAACACTTACCCAGTAAGAGTGACGACAAGGACCAAGAGTCTTACCTGGTAAGTGAGGGTGACGACTCTTACCCGGTTAATGCTTACCGGGTGAATTGTTGTCTACGGTGCTGTTTTGATGGACTAGAATCTTACCCTATAAGGTAAGTAAGAGTGTCGACTCTTAACAGTAAGTGCTTACTAAGATGTCGAGAAGCATAGACTAAACACCCAAAAACCATCAAGTGAGAGTATGATTGTATATATTTTTTATTAAGATTTCAAATGGTGTTTTGTTTCTTAAAATAGTTGGGAGCATAGAAATGAGATAAGTGGCTGTAGGAATACAACGACCCAAGCTAGAGGGAGATTGGATTATGAAAAGCAAAGCTAAGCTACTTCAAGTAGATGTTTTTGCTTTCTCTCACCTCTCTGGCATTAACTTGAACTTGGGATTGAAAATTTGAAGTTCAAGTTAATATAGAAACAGAGAGAAGCAAAAGATCTGGAGTTTTGGATTGCTTCGTTACGATTATAATAGGCAATGATAGAAATAACTGCCTAATCCCGACATTTTGAACAAGAAGCGAAAAGACTAATAAACCCCTATGACTACCGAGCACATTTAAAACAGAGTTTTTGTGCTGCTTAAGAATTGTTTGGAACCACTGGCTTGAATCATATTTGCTGAATGAGATGCTTTACCTTCGATGCTTTTCATAAAGAATAAAAACTAACAAGTTCCCTTTTCGTTTTCTTTTATAATCTCCTGTCTTTGTGCTGCTTGCATTTTGATGGTGAGCTAATATCTCTGATCTTTGTTATGCAACTGTTCCAGAATCATGAAACTGTCAAAGAAGCTGACAACAATGGACGAATCTATGTCATGTGACCCCCTTTATCTGTCCAAGGTATAGCTTCTCGATCCCCATATGTATTTGAACAAAATTGATATCCTTAAAAACGTAACTTAATAATTGTAATATGTTCAGGTTGGGAGAGAGCGGCAACGATTTGACTTTGATGATTTTGATAGTGTTCCTCAGAAATTCAACTTATGAATGCAATTCGTAAGAGCGGACACTTGCCATGATTTCGGTTTATATCAGATTTTGTTTGTCACCTCTTCGAGTCCATGAATTAAAATACATGCGAATCATAGTAGTAAATGTAGTTTTTTTCACCAGTTTATTTTCTGTTGCTTGTCCCTTTTAGTGGGAATTTCGTTGATGAATTAATTTTTTTTGGGGGTCATTATATTTGTCATGTGCAACAACTTTACTATGTTTTCACACCAAGATTTTCTAGTTCAGTTTAGTTGTCTCATGTTTGGTGCAACATTATATTTGGATAGGACAAGACTAAGGTTTGGCGTTTGATTTTTGAGGGATTTGGATTTTGTGGAAGGATCTAGAATTGAAATTTTTGATATGTTTGATTTGTAGGATTTCATTTCTATCTTTATAAATAGTTTATTGAAATATTATGAATAAGTAAATTGCCTTATTATTACAAAACAAATGTTTTTAACCTATGTCAAGACATTATTATATAAAAATCATAAGAAATTCCATGAAATACCATACCAACCACATGATTGTTGTGTGATTTAACACCTTATAATCTTTCAACCTGCCTCACTTTCATGTATCTTTACGAACCAAGACATTGCTAAAAAAGCACACATTTTAGATACTTTTAACATGATCATTTTGCAAATAAGAACACGAGTATAATGGCGTTGCTTGGTTTTTGATTTCTTTTAACATATATAACATAACTGCTTGAAGGGAAAAAAAGTAAAGAACTATAGAATTCAATCAGATCCAGTGTAAGCACTCCATACATAACATAAAACAATTGATGCTATATGCTTGAAAAAAAGGTGACTAATTGTGTAAGAATACAACATAACCAAGGAATTAGACAAATCAAATGAAAACAACTCTCCACAACAAAATACATCTCCACACCCACAAAAGGGGTTTTAAAAAAGAAAACTATGCAAAAAATTCCCTGCAAAATAGACCTATTTTATTTAGCTTTGGTGTTTCTGTCTTTACACAGTGCATGCCATTCCTGTAGCACTGCTGTTTGAAGAGCCCGATGCTCGACTTCTTCCGGTGTTAACTCAAATAATGTTGTCGGTCCCTTGTGTTTCTTCTTCCCCTCCTCCCCGTTTTCTGTCTTTTTCTTGTTGTCCTCACTTTCATCATCATCGGTCTCCTCGTCTTTTGGGTCTTGATCGATTTTTGGGGCCTTAGGAGGAGGCTGAGCTGCTTTTAGCAAGGCTATTCGTTCCATGGATATCCGTAGCCTCTCGGCAGCGGCCACCTTGACTTCGTCTTCAGGCATGTATTCGACACCTCCATCGGTGAGGTCATCACACCAAGATTGCAGATCTGATCCTACTTCTTTTATTATTGCTGCATCTGAGGCTCTAACCACGAATTTGCATATCATAGCGGTGGTTTCATCCCCCAAGTCTACGTTTCTGCTCACTTCACTCGCACCGAATATCATCATCCCCAAGAAACCTCCATGCCATGTTTTTGCAGCGAAGCATAGCTGTTCAAGACAAAAATACAATCTTCAACAAACGGTTCTGGTGCTACATATTATTCCCTTTGCCCCGAAATAAGTGTCTGCATTCCATGATTCCTTACTTCCCAATTCTACCCTTGTGAAGAAATTCATTACTCCCTCTATTATTAAGGGTACAATTGTCATTTAGATAAATAAGAAGTGTAACAATTTTACATTCCTAAAACTGTCTTTTTTTTCATCGTGGACATTTATTTTGGGAAATGGTGGGAGTACTTGGAGAAAAAAACAGCAGATTCAGAAGGAGGGGGGGGGGGGGGGAGGAAGAAGAATTAAGAATGCTAGCAAGCAGAAGCACAGAATGAGTGGCACAATGGATGACAAGGGAGAGAGGAATAAAATGAATAGAAAAGTGGATGTTATGCTAATAAAGAATCCACATGAATTGCTTAGTGAAATACCTTATCGATAAAAAGAGTCCACTTTGTACTCTTTCCTTGTCCCAAAAGGAGCTATTTGAGAATTCACAATAAGATCAATCGAGAACCAAAAAGAATTTGAGAACCATGAGAACCGGTATATGCATATATGAATTTTAGTTAGTATATGCGTCAATGCATATATATATATACTTGCATAGTGCATACAAGGTTGGATTTCGGTGAGAATGAAAGTTACAGTGAGAAGGGTACGAAGGGATCTCCACCCTTGGATCAATCCTAATTGAATATCAACCTTAATGAGATGCATTAAAATGCACCGGATCAATTCCCTGGGAAACGCACTTCATGGGGTGGGGTGAGATTTAAAAATGATCAAGGGTCCAAATCGCTTCTTACACATCTCATCTTAACTCCTATTCTCACCAGATCCTTCGTCCTTGCATATATAGTATATATATATGCATTGAAAAATATACACATTGATAGAATATATATTTTGATAGTTCATGTAATTTGCAACAATGCATATATATATGCATATACCGGTTCACACAGCTTTCAAAATATTTATGGTTCTCATTTGAACTTTGCCCTTAACAATCGAGATTATTGATGTTTCTATGCTTGCACATACTTTTTTAAGATCGGAAAACGAGTCATCTTATTATTTTTCTATTTAGCAGGTGCAAATTAGTTCAAAAAACGGTTTTTCAGAGCTTCAAGTGGACTCCATTTGGATAGTGAGGAAATATAAACAAAAATCAGATAAACTTGCCTGGAACCCAGCTACGGTTCGGATGATGTGAGAGCACACTCTGTGAAAAGGCTTGGCAGATAGAGATTTAAGTCCACTCAAAAAAGGAGAAGAACCATATTGCTGAGCAGCAGTAGCCTTAAACCCGCTACCTTCATATGTATAAGTACCCGTGAACTCCACCATGGCAGGCAAACTAGGCCATAAGCGAAAATACTCGACAGGTGAGATTTTATGGGGCATCAGAAGTTCTGTTAGTGGAATCTTGTAAGGCTGGCATCTCATAATTACAGGTTCTCCTAATTCTGGCTTTAAGCTTCTTTTCTGTCTGATGATTTGTTGATCTTCCTCAGCATAGTCCCCTTCAAGTCCTGGAGCATCAGTGCCACAGAATGGGTAGTATAAGACTTGAACCCAAAGAGCACATCTTTCAAAGTGAGAGATACCCAGAGTCACACTGCATAATACTGGTTCCTACACGCATTAACATGGACCATTTTCAAAAGAAATCCGAGATAACAGAAACATTACATCATGGGAGAGAGTCTTAATGAGATTAAACATCATAATTAAGCTTCCCATCAAAGAACAAAAACCAAACCAAACCAAACAAGCCCAATATATCCCACCTGAAGGTGGGGTCTGGGAGCGGTAAGATGTACGCAGACCTGACCTCTACCTCAAGAGTAGAGCAGTTGTTTCAGTGAAGTGAAGACCTCTGACTTGTGAAAAGTGTAGGAAAGTGAGATGCATATGAGATAATTTTTGAAAAGCTAGTTATGAGTAAACAATAACATACAAGTATAGGCAGGTACAAGGAAAACATAAGCAAGGTAAAGAAACAGCACATTCTTATGGTTTGTCTGTTAGCAGCTTAATAGGCTTAATGGGACTCGCAACTTATTCAGTCAGCTATGCACGACTGTTTGGTAGTGGGTTAATGATAATGAAAGTGGCTTATTCAGTAAGCTTCTAGGGGGGGCTTTCTGCAGAAAGCCAAAAAATTCCGAACTTGTCCCTCCCAGTAAAAAAAACACGTTCCCTCCATTTATGAAAAACCCCTCCCAAACAAAAATCTTCCCAATCTATACAGACAGATTAATACACACATTCAGCTTTATCCATACAGGACTTGATGGAAAACCAACCAAACAACCCCTTAGTCTAACCTAAGGCTTTGATAACCTAACTAACGACTCACTAGCCCTCATAAAGCCGGTAGTTACTTCCATCAAATAAATGTGTAACTGTACTGAAACAGATTACATAAAAAAGATGTAATGGAAGCAAAAAGCCATTTGTACGCGTGTGTGCGTTCCGTGCTTTGGATGTCAGAAATACTCTCCTTATGACAAATGTTTAACCTTACCCATCTGTGTTTAAACGGGATCGTTATTAACTTATTATCAGTATTTATATCTAGATCAGGAGCATATTAAATTTTTTGAATTATCAATATTGACAACCCTACACATGTGTAAACTGTAGTTTCAGTATAAATTCAACCAAGAGAAATTCCAGAATACAGATTTTGCAAGCATCGACTTCCGATGAGGCTCAAACACCTAGAGTTGTACAAATGTTCAGCAACTAGGTACGTCCCAACTTCCAACTACTTGGTGTAACAAATGATTCCTAAATTCTCTATAGCCGATCTATATTGTCTAGGGTACAACCATTGGAATGTAATACATATCCTTAGGGGAGCCGGTTTGTTGCGGAATCTAAAGGAATTGTGATGTCAATTCCATCGACCAAATTCCATTACTGAGTGCGGTTCATTCTTTGGGGTTTACTACGGAATTCAATTCTACCAATGGCGGGATTCAGATTCTTTGAGGTTTAGCAAGGAATTTAAAATTCATTTCAGCCCATCTTTTGAGAAAGACAGTCCTACCCTTCTATTTGCCCTAATCCACTCATCGTTCTCATTCTCTATTTGATGTTAAAAAAGACAAAAATAACCTCTGAATCATATCTACCACACAAGAGGCATTAAATTCAACATTTGAACTGTCACTACCAATGCGCACATGCTCACTCGTTCTACAGGCTAGCATACCGACAATATACATTATGCTTAATGAAAAATGGCAAAACTTGATCCCAAGATTAATGACATGCTTGTAAAGGAAGAAAGTTCAAGGATCGGCCTCTTCATGATCTACCATGGTTCTCTTTTGTAGTGTAGGATTACCCAGATGGAGTCTTCTAGAGACAGATTAGTTGGTTACGGGATTAGGTTCACAATGGGACTTGGTTCGAGTTATCTGCAACTGTTGTGACAATAGCTTTTAGTTAGTGAATCTTTTCTGCTCATCACTTTGATGTAGAATTTAAAAAATTAACCAAATAAGTATCACCTTCTTGTTTGTAGATCTTCGACTTCTAAAAAGCAATTTTGTCCTCAATCACAGCACATTGAACAGGTTACCTTAAACATAAAGCCTAATGATTTCTTATTAAACGAAATCCTCATGGTAATTAATAGGTTTTATTCTATCACATCAATTCTTTAAATATTTTTTTATAACAAATACCAGGTGTAGATTAGAGTTCAGTACTGAAATATATAGATGCAGATGTTAGAGGTTTGTGCATTGCATTTTTCTTGCTTTGAAAAGAAAATGTTCATTGAATCTTGCCTATTACTTATTTGCTACAATTGGCCTCTCATCCTGTACTAGACTACTAGTTACTACTAACTGGATGAAATGACTTTTTGGGGGGTATTTAATTGTTCACAAAATGGTATGCCTTGCTTAGAAGCATTTATATAAAAATATAACTCTTTAGGACATTGCTATTTTCTGGAAACCTCGGTTCCAGAACCAGTTGTCCAATGGAGCAATGTGAACATGCATTTTTTTTTCCCAAACAAAACATGCAGTGAGAACATTTACAATTTTCCATATGCCACATTTGGTCCTAAAAAGCTATGCTTAAGAGGGCCTCACCAGCTTTATTGCTCTTCCTTTTTCCCCATAATTTATCGACACTAATCAATAGAATCATCATAGTGAACCAACAACCTGAGTCACAGAAGTGTAAAACAGACATTGACACAAGGATATGGTAGAAATTTAGCATGCTATTCGACTAGGAACTCAAGTTACTCAGAATTGTACCAATAAGCCAAACAACTATAAGCATTCTAATATAGAGAACAAAACTAAGTAGTGTTCCACAAAACCTGAGAATTTAGATCACGCAATTGTCGAACTGCTTGGGGAGATCCATCCATGAAATATGATGCACCAGACAACCCAACACGAATATCCACCCGATTAAGTTCCATTTCAGTCAGATTTAAAAGCTGCAAGAAATTGTCAAAGCTCAGGAACAAATTACTTAATAAATTGTGATGTGATATACATTCCTAGCTATTATAAAATTCATATATCATGGTTCATTAATCAGTGTATTAAGCTTCAATAACACTGGTAAATTAGAAGAGGGATCTACACCTACTCTACGACAGATTGTTTTCCCTCTAGTTGTATGCTATTACACTGTATCAAGAACCTTTGAATTGTGTCATGGCTAGCAAATCTTAATGGTTTGCAACGTAAAGATAAAATTTTCATGAAACTATTTCACAATCCGCATCTTATTTAACTTAAAAGGTATGTATTGTGCCATCCATCAGCCAAGTTTTTATCTTTTTTTTGGTTATGGAGGATCATTTTCACAATCAAACCACATCTGGTGAAAACTCATAGATGCATCTAAGGATGTTAGGATTTAAGTCCAACCTTCAAGTGCAGTGTGATTCTTCCATCACTAGGATCTGACAAGTGATATGCTTCAACATAGCAGGGATCGCTACTACCAGTTAATGTATGCGCACTTGGAGGAACCTTCAACGAACTAGGGTCAGCTCTCTTTGTCAATAATAGAGTTAATTCGCTAGGATCTGGCCTCCATAGTTCTAGAATAGCCTTGTGAACCAACCCTTCCAACTTTCGGTCCTGGGCAGCCGAGGCTTCATAAAACTGAACAGTTAATTTGTGATGACTGAACGGGTAGTCTCCTCTTGCTTCACTAACACCAGCCCACCTGTAACAAAAGCATTGCGTAAGAGCATCAGCAGTAAAACAAGAAGGTGCAACATAGTCCATTACAAATAATGCTCCCTCTTTCCAAGAGAACCTGCAACTTTTGATTGCATGTAGAGTTTAATTAAAAAATTAGACCAACGATCAAATACTTAAAATACCCCTACAGTTAAAAAAACAGGTGTACCACAATCAATTTCATCAATATATTTTAATGACAGTTAATGGGATAATAGATAAATTTGCGAAAGAATATTCCTGAAAAGGAACTTTGCATTTCTCTGGGACAAGCCATAATATGAATTATTGCATTTCTCTGGGACATAGGGAGTACTTTTCAAGCTAACTCAGGCAAGGAAACGTGCAGCCTAAACATGCATGTTTGGGATGTCAAATTCCAAAGGCTACAACTTTTAAGCAAAGCATATCGAAATAGCCATACATATGTGAATAGATAAAACAAAAATCAGTCAATTGTCGAGATGGAGGTGGACGTGGAGGGAGTCACCAACATAAATTTCAAGAATCCAGAGTTCTATGAGTGGGATATAGGGAGCACTTAAAAGATCAGGCACGACGACAAACCACAAATACTAATTGCCTTCAGTCTTGATTATCTTTTGATTGCTTTTTAACAAACAAAAAGCTACTATTCAAGTAAGAACGAAATCTCATGGATTGAAGAATATCATTGGCTTAGAGTCAACAACAGGCACTATTGTCAGCTAACTTCATAAACAGAGAATGAGATGCTCACTTGTCGTCGGAATGACTAGAAACATATTTGATTCTCTGCAGTATCATACGCGCCTGATGTTTGTTCACAGAATCAGTCAAGGGATCAGCCCTGAACTCTTCTAGCTCTTTGGTGAGCAACTGCCCCGCCCTACCATTCCGTGATCCCAACCTTTGAGCACATAAAAGAACTGCTTGAATATCTTGCAGCTTATTTGTTTCAGTCGCAGATGCGTCGGCATTGAATAAGATTTTGTGGATTTTGGATATAATAATATTCAGTGCATCATCTGGGTCATCAGCTAAAAGAGGATCCAAACCTTCTAAATCAATGTGTTCTGAAATTGCCCAAATAAGACGGGCAGCAATTCTAGGAGTATTCACCTGCCAGATAGATATTGATATTTACTTACATAAAAAGGTAACCAGAGTCCAAAATCCAAGTAAAATGCTTATATGAAAATTAAGACAACAAGGACAGAAACAGAAAACTCTCCAAACAAAGCACTGAATAATTTGGATGTCAACAGTTTAATTAAGTGGGTTTACACAAAAGTTTCAGGTAATCAAGAGCTACTTCCGTCATAGAAATATAGACTATGATAAACCGCTGTGTGAGTTCATTTGTACTGAAGAAACTTCACTCTTGTAACACTATTTGAAACTTACATAGCCATGTCGTACTGACATCTGCAGAAAGTAGTATCAACATGTAAAATGGGACAGAAACACTTGCATTTGTTTCCCCAGATATGTTGGAACAGGTAAACTTCTAGAGCAACTCATCTTTCATGCACCATGAGATGACAATGCAACAAGCTCAATATTTAGTGGCCTCTCTATCTAATGCTACCTATTCCAACTTTATAAACCTTGAGGACTTGGGTTCAAGTCTAGTACAAGACGTAATTAGCGCACTGAAAAATTCCAGTAATTTTGTATCTATTAGGGTGGGGATAACATAACAAAACCTAGCTTTATGCAGCCTCCATTGCCAGAATAAACTACAAAAATACGTAAATATAATAAAGACTAAAGAGGTTTGCATATATGAGGAAACCATGCCTATCCAGAGTAACTTGGAGCACAACTTTCTAGATATAAAGGGCTTACTTGCCTGCAGAAGACTAGAAAGCTCTAATGGATACAATAGGTATTACTAAAACTGTTGACAATTAATTGTTAAGCATTCTAACATTCACAAACCTCAAGCAGATCATGTACAAGTTGCCGTTGCAAATTTTGTAAACGTGTTTCATTCAAAATCTGATCTTGAGATGCCCCGTCTTTGACTCTCTTGACCCCTCCCCTTGTATCAAAGATATGGCAAAGCCTGACCAACAACTTCAAGTAACAGTCAACGGCATATGTCCGACCCTCACAATCCCATCTTACACAAGGTCGACACACTTCCACCACTTCCAAAGCGGGCTCGGTCCAATTTAATGCACCATAACCAGTTCCATATGCCAATGCTCCAATCACTCTACTCTCCATACCTGAATTTTTTTGTTCAGGCAATGGCAGTGATAGCTGAAAGCAGCTTTCTACCAAAGTGGCCACCAATTCTTCTCTAAATAAACTTTTGCTTGTAACAGTGTTGAGATCATCTCTGATCCTGACATCCTCAAAAAGTGATGCAATGTCTGTTCCAGGAAGAGGTTTCTGACCTCTTCGAACACTTTCTTTTGCGAAAAGATCAACACAAAGAGCCGTTCGACAGATACATGCTAAAGCATGCATGCGGTCTGACTCTGCCCTCAGGTTCCTCACCATGAGAAGCAGCCTTTTAAATAATGAAACCTGAAAAAATAAACATGTATCAATATTGATTTGTCCTCTTATCATGCAGACAATGTTAAAAAAGAATCACCTAAAGCTATTTTATGGACCTTTTACCTACTCATAGGATATAAGATTTCATTTAGATCTATCAAATGATCAACTCACATAAATGATCAACCTGTGATTAATATTCACCAAGACGACCAACAAAACTGATTGGTTGTACTATAAGAAATGCAGGTGGGAGTAGGCATAATAATCCCTGTACAATCAAGCTAAAAACACAATACAACTATAGTTGTGGGCTTGTGGCACCACAATAAACAGTAAAAAAAAAAACTAGCAACTCACAAGACTATTTATAACAACGTGATATACGCAAGAATAGACAACACATGAATATGAAAGATTTCTATATATTGCCCAGTTACTTATGTTATGTTCCATGACATTCAAAAATATTTATCTCTGTTACGGTTTAATGGGGAAACTTTGCAGGTAGAGACCACCGAATCCATACATATGTTCCATAATATTATATAATATTTATCTCCTTGAAGGTTTAATAGGGGAACTTTGCAGGTAGAGACCACTGAATGCCAGTAAATCCCATGAAAAACAACTAGAGAAGAAACGGGATTAAGTTGATTGGTAATTAGGGCTTTACTAAATAGTCAGACTGAATAACAGCATCGAGCAGCTTTAAATTGTCCTCACAAATCAAAGATCAGAATTCAACAAAAAATGAAAGATAGAAGGCAATGAAGAAGGTCTGTAATCTACATAAATCGCTGCATATTACCCGAATCACCATATGAAACTTGCAGAATTTTTAAGTTGTATATTATAGTAATTCTGATCTCTGCTGTGATAAAAGGAAGGGATTTTCGGATGCTAGATAGAACATCAGTAGATTTGAAAACTTTGGGGCAAGAGGAGGTGATCTTGCCCCAAAGGAAGGGATTTTCGGATGCTGGATCGTTGACAGCAAGAGACAAAAAGAGTTGGAGGACAGTTTACTCTAGCCAATGACAAGATCTAGAAGGTTGGTATGACAGATCAGAATTTATCTAAGTTTATACGAGTCATATATTAATATGCCAGATTATGTTAAAAATAAACATGACTGCCAGTAAACCGTCCACCCAGAAACAAAGAATAACCTTGATCTTTAACCAAGGATTAAGAAACAACCAATACCATATTAGACAACGGGCCGATCCCTAGCTAACCAGATTAACAATCATACTGGATGTTGATGCATGGAGAATTATGTCATTACTATAATACTTATTCAATGATGACGGCATCGATGAGGAGGGTAGAGAATATGACGGTCAAGGGGGTGAGGAGGGGCAGGCTGAGGAGGAATTGAGAAGAGCAATTGAGGCCTACATCTTACCCCACCAAACTCTACCTCTGTGTGGGATTTACTGGGTCTGCTTGGTTTGTTTTGGTTTAGTGTAATGCTTATTCACTAATAAGAATGTGAATATTCTGTCCAACGTGTTGGCAACATTTCATTATCTTTGAAGGGTATGGCATTTAACTAATCGTTTGTTTTAAGAAAATCCAATCTGGTAACTTTACCTATTTTGGAACATCCAAAAGATAAGGTGTATCAATTATATAGAACTATGTGGTACCAGATTTCATGACCCTGGACAGGATAATCTAGATCATGAGTAACATTTTGAGGTAGGCAACAAGGAGAAGGCAAGTTCAGTATACTGTTTAGTTATTTATTTGTCCTGTTCACTTATGCTTATTTGTGCATTAACACCCCCTTAAAATCTTTGTTATGACGGGTTACCTTACTTAGTATATTGATTTTTCCATTTGAAGAATGCTATAGAATATTCAATTCATGATTGGAGAACGTGGGACATGGTAAAGTGGATAAAAGCTTAATAAGTTCCATTTTCTATCTCCATGGTGAACAGGATAGAAACTTAATAAGTTCCATTCTGTATCTCGGTATTGTAAGAAGATTCATTTTCACTGCTGTCAACCATTTGTGATTAGAGCTTAGTCAGTTAGTTGATTTGAATATAACAGCAGTATACGGAAGCATGTCAATAAGACCATTTATTAAGATGTGTGTCTTGTAGTAGATTCAATATCAGCAAATGAACAGCTTTTGCAAGCAATTCTAAACTGGGATGGTCATCTAGCATTAAGACTTTCGTCTATTCTGCCTGGCTCTTAGATCATTAAAACAGGACCTATGATGTTATATGTATATGGCTGCAGATGATGACTAGTTGATTTTCTATCAAGTAAGCTAATAAAGTGTTACTGTAATTCTAAGGAGTAAGGAAATATGCGGAAGTGGTTGCACAAACCTGCATACTAAGGTCGAGGAGGTGTAAATTCGTGACAACAGCTCTAACTATACTCTCTCTAGCAGAAGAAAACTCCTGTCTGTCCCAAAGTGTGAGAACTGCTATAATCGATGTCGAAGCCCACTCAGGCTTGCCACCAGGAACATCAGCCAAATACAACATGTTAATCCCCACCTCGAAAATCAATGCTGGGTCTAAAGAAGATGCCAAAAAAGGTGCCAGATGCGTGACCACATCCGACACTCCAACGAACCTCTCTGTTTTGCTTGAATCCAAGGTACTGCCATTTGTTTTCTTTGAAGACCTGGAGAGCTTCTGAAAAGCCTCGAATGTGCCCGAAGCAACAGATTTAACTGCATAAACAAGCGGATACACACTGGCCCTAAAACTCTCCACCGGAAGAATTAATGACCTTGCCATTAAAGCGTTCCGCCTCCTCCAAACGAATTCCACCATCGACGACACCCAATTTGACCTGATCGCAACAGAATTTTCACTGTCCACAAGCTTGTCCCCAGCCAGCCGACTCATCCTCTTCGATTCGAACTCCTGAAACAACCTCCCAACCGATTCAAATGCCACCTTTGAAACATTATCAGCTTTGTCCAGCATGTTCTGCCCAATCCTAGTCCACCAATTCGAAACCTTGTCTAATAAGTTGATGTTATTCTCACACAACGTCACCAGATCGTCACGAGCGAGGATACAACCTAGGGTTTCAGTAATCGAGAACCGCAAATTATCACTGTTCGAATCAAAGCAGCTTGATATTTCTTTATTGCTATCAGTAATGAGTTTGCCCAGCCGATATGACGGGATGGCCGCAAGGATAGAAACGGCGGCGGCAGTTACGTCAGGGTCTGGGAATTCCAGATCGTTGTGAATCCCAGTACAAACGACCTCCCATAGATCGGTGGTGAGGCGAGTGGATCGAATAAGGTCAAACGCGAGCTTTTTGGAGACTGCAGAGGCAGGAGAAGCGACGATCTCTTCGACGGCAGACTTAGCAATGACCGAGATATCACGACCGGCTGCAGATTGTTGGAGTGCCTGGAGTAGTGCTCCTGATTGACGAAGAGCATCGTTGGATCGGAGATCCGCTTGGATCTGAGCGAAGAGTATGTCCATTATCCTGAAAGGGATAGGGTTAGAGCATGCAGGAGTTGTAGACTCCCTCGACGGAGAGAAAGTGGAAGATGTGATTCCGGTGAAAGCTGTTCGTGGTTTTATGAGTTATGACACCGGTCTCACCAGTGAAAACAAATGCTCCATAAACGCCGTCGTCAGATTCGTACGGTTACTTTTGCAATACATTTTCTTTTACTTAAACTCAATTAGGCGGTAATTTTGTACCAATTTAATCTAAACCGGTGAATATATTTGCGTCAATTAAATCAAGGGATGTCTGGGATTGCTTATAAAAATAGCTTATCGATTTATTTCGATGTGATGTTAATAATAAATATTTTTGAGTGTTTGTATAAACAACTTATACCGGTATCAAACCGGTAATAAGGAGTTTTTGAAAAAATTAAATTTTTCTTATTTATAATAAATTTTTAAGTGCTTTTATAGAAAAGAATGAGTTTTTCAAATAAGCAATATCGACTTCGATTGATGTGTGTGTGTATCAATTAAATTGATGTCAATTTCAGTCGATTGTTAATGTGGTATTAAATATGTAAAAATGATTGGTGCATGGTATTGAAAATTACGTATTATGATATTGTCATAGTACCGATTTATTTAATTATTTACTGTTTTTATTGAATATTAAATTTTATAACTTTAACTATTTTATTTGAAAATTATAATGTTTTCAAGTTTTTTCTTTCAGTTAAAAATCCCTAAACATCACATGTGTTACCGTGAAACTCAAAATTTGAACATAACAACAAGTTTACATGTAACTTGAAACTGATACAAAACAATACAAATTGAAAAAAGTTGGTACCAAATACAGATGGTTAGTACACGGTATAAGATTTTAGAGTAAACTATGATTTTTGTCCGTGTGATCTGTAAAAAATTGTGATTTTTGTCCCTATGGTTTTAAATTTTCTATTTTTGTCCTTATGGTTTGTAATTTACTCTTATTTTCGTCCCTGGGACTAAATCTATTAAAAATCTTCTATTTAACTTAGGGTTATTTTAGTATTTTTAATTTTTTCCTCTTTGGTCTATTGAAAATATTTTGGTTTCTTTTTTGCTATTTTGATCCTTTTGATTTTAATAAGACTATATTTTATTTTATTTTGTTAAAAAAAATTGTACATAAAAATTTATAGTGTCTTGTTATTGATTATTATAACATAATTAAATATTTTACATTCATTTAAAAAAATTTCATGTATTTTTATCATCGTAATTTTAATTTTTTATTAGCTCGATTTCTATTATAAGTTATTCAAGTACAAATTGTTAAGTACCTCTGATATGGTAGTATTTTAATTATTCTTTATTTATTATGGACCATAAGAAGCTAAAATACCAAATAAACCAAAAAGAAAAAAAAAAAACTATAATGCTCCCTAAGTTAATGGATGGTTTTTAACATATTTAGTATCAGGGACAGGAGCAACAACAAATTACAAATCATATGGATGATAATTGCAGTTTCCGAATCGTAGTGATGAAAATCACAATCTTTCTCAAACCACATGGACAAAAAAAGTAGTTTACTCAAAGTTTTACATACCAGTTATAATTGGTTGGTAGCTTGGTACACAATATCGAGAAAAAAAAAACTTGATACTCCATCAATGAGATTTTCATGTGTATAATTTTAAATGAGATTTTAATTAAGTCTGTGACTTTTTTATAAATATGAAGTCGTTTTTTCTCCAATAAATAAAAAAATCATAAATTTAATTAAAAAATCATTAAGTAAATGACATGTAACAATCCCACCCCTAAAAGTTGACAAACCATTGATTTAATAAAACATTTATAATGTTTTTCTAGAACAAATTTATAAATTACAATTAGTTTTGTAAACGAGGAACGAGTTATTGCATTAAATAGTAATTTTACACAAGTATTGAATTAAAAATACAAAAAACTTAGAATTATGTTATTTTGGATAACCATGTATGCGTGTTATTAAATGTGTAAACATGACTAATTGAACAACAAAAATATATCGCATTTGATGTGTATACAGGTAAAATGCATGAAATTGTAATGTATTTTCAAATAACATTTTATTATAGCATTATACTTTTGAAAAATCTACTTATTATAACAACGATGACTGATTATCGCATTGGTTTTTTTTGCTTATGTGGCATAATGTAAATGATTTGGATTACATGTTATCTCTTTCCTATCCTCTGATTCGCAACCCTGTTTTACGAAATAGTTAAAGGGGGCGATTGTAACTGACGATCAGAAGAAAGACAGTGTGCACATAAAAAACTCAATAAATCGAGGGAAGTTGGGCGACAACGAGTCTATGGGGTATAGCGGTTGCAAAAAGGCAACATCCACTATGGTTCTTGTTCATCCTCCGTTGTCTACTTCCGGTGTTCTTTGAGTCACTTCATTATCATGGGTTTCTTCGGTGTCGAACGATTTGCGTGTCTCATTGACTCAAAATATGGATTTTGAGTCCAACTCCTCATTCTCCTCATTTTATTTTGTTTATGTTATGAACAAAACTCATGGTAGGGTTCTATCATTTATAGGATTTCTCTTAAAAAACTAAGTGTTTGATTAGATGGGAAATCTGCTAGAAAATTTGAATAATTGTGTTGTTTTTTCACATACAATTTTTATTGATGTTTATGAGAGTTAAGATATCAGGTAATTTAGAAATATAATGTTATAATAAGTAATGTCACGTCAACAATATATTACACATAGACATAACATGACACAAAAACATATTAACTTATGTCATATCATCAGAGTGTCTCTCAACAATTTATTCATTGGTACAATAATAGATAGTTTATTAAAATATAATTTCTTAATAAAAAATATTTTAAAAATACACGGTTATATAAAAACAAATGAAAGTGTAATAATATTATAAGAAAATTCTGAAAAATACGTTACTATTTCATGTCTTTCTTCCACATACACATTAACGAGATTTTGTAAAAAAACAAATAAATTACTAACAATTATAATTAAGATAATTTCATGTCTTTCTTCCATAATTTCAAGATTGTCATTTTTTACGTTGCTATTTCATATATTTCTTCCATATTATTTTTTATATAATTTATTAAAAAAAATACTATGTCACATAACCAAAAAAAAACTAAATAGAAAATACACATTAATTAATAAAAATCTAACCAAACTTATGATGAGGGCACCTATGGTGGAGATATGTATGGAGGATTAAGGGGTCGTTTACTTAATCACTTACTCAGTAAATGTTTATCTGTGAAATTCAACACTATCGCTTACTTACTGGGTAAGATTTTAGTTTATGAAAACAATATCGTATGCAACAATTTACCCGGTAAGCACTAACCGTGGTAAGAGTTGTCACTCTTACTTACCAGTAAGACTTTCGGTCTTTGTTTTTCTCTTATCGGGTAAGATTTTTGGTCCTTACCATATTCATTCGATAAGGTAACGTAACTTGGTAAGTGCTTACCCGAATAAGCGTTCGGTAAACGGCCCTTAAGTCTTGGGGAGGATTTTAAGTTGTTTTTAATACTAAAAAAAATATATATATTTTTAATATTGTAATGGATTAGTTGAGAGTTGACGAGTTTATTAATTCCGCTTTGCTTGTCTTATATTTGAACAACATCATCTTGTTTTCTTTACCAAGTAAGTTGTACGTTAAAAACATGCATTATAGATTGGGTATTTATACATTTAGGGGTTGTTTACTCGCTGCTGACTAGACTGACTCGTTCAGCAGTCAACGTGTTTACCAAAATCAAAATTCGACCGAAATCTGGCTACAATGCTGACTGAAAACTTACGAGATCAGCTCCAAAATGTTACTTACCCCAGTTAGTTTCCATGTTTCAATAGTGTGTCCTTCCTAAAACTCACCATGAATGAAGAAATGTACGAGCCATCCAATGATACCTCCATATCCTTCGTCTTATTCAACAATACCTCTACAGCCATACCGACAAACATAAAATCGAAAGGTGGTAGGTGTGTAATGCCATAAGCCAATCATCATCGTTCCATGAATATAGGAACTACTCTCCATTTTCGATGAAGAACTCGACCTTCCCTTTCAATCTAAATGTCAGCGACCAAAACTCTCTAAACCTTTCCTCGTCCTCTATATATATCAAAGCTCTCTTCATGAAAACGGTTTTGATTTTGAATTTGAGTTTGATTTTTGAATTAGTGTTTTGGATAGGAGTTTAATTTTGGATCTATATATGATTTTGGGATTAGGGTTTTCACTTTAATTTTGGATACGAGTATGATTTTGGAATTAGGGTTTTCAGTTTGACTTTGGATCTAAGTACGATTTTAGAACTGGTTTGATATTAAGATCTGGATTTGTTTTGATTTTGGATATATATATATATATATATTTTTTGGAATGTTTATTTATTTTGAAATTTGAATTTGTTTCATTTTGGGTTTGTTTCAGATTTGAGTTTACAAACAGGGTTATAATAGTCATTTTATTGTTAGTAAACACTTACTAAAAACATTTGGTAAACATTCGTACCCAAAACAAGACTTATCGAGACAACACATATTCGGGCCAACACTCTTGCCCAAACAACACTTACCTGGTGGTAAGAATTGGTAAATGGGTTGAAAAAGCCCGATATTTGATTTTGGATTGGGCTTTGACCCAACTCTTGAAATAGCCCAGCCCACCAAAGCACGTCACGGAACAGTCGTCGTAGAACAGGGTGCGCGAGACTGAAGATATCGTATTTCTGTTGTTTTTGCTTCTTAATTTCAATCTCCTTCATTATTGGATCCATCTGCGCCAGCCTAACGCCACCGATTAAGACCAACATCCGCCGACGACGTCCTGTAAGTATCCTCCCCATACTTCCATTTTGAACGATGAATTGACATTCTAGGGTTTGATCGTCTGTGCGAAATGTGGGATAATCGTTATTTAACTGCCTCTTGTCTCAAATTCTCGATTGAGTTCTCTTGATATTTACTCGGCGTTTTGAGATTTTTAGTTTCATTGATTGAGCCGGGGTTGTAATTCATTTAGTAACAACTAGGGCTGTGTTCTTGTTATACGCTAAAAATTGACGATTTCTAGGATTTCTCATGTCAAACCTAGTACTATCCAAATGAAAAATTGATATGGGTTTTGTTTCAAATAATTTTATTTGTGCAAAGGTAATCTACAATGGAAGTTTTTCTCGAAAATATTTAAATCCCTGGTCGGTTTTAACTTTAAAAATAGATGTCTTGAGATCTGAAATAAAATAATCATAGGTATACTATTGCTGTTGTTTACTCGTGGACTTGATATTATACATGACATTTCATCTGTGTATATGCCTTGGAGATAAAATTGGCGATAATGCTCATTGTGGGGATTCACTGTAAGTTAACATCAAGTTCTGACGAATGGATTTGCAGGAAATTAGTTTGAATGGCTGGTGGTAGGGGAATTTACCACTTGCTGAGGGGCAGACTCCATTCTCATTCCACTGTAAGCATTACTACTACCTGCATTTGCTTTGTTAGCCTTTACAAAACATCATTTGTTTCAAGACTGGTGCCTGTTCTGGGTTATGCAGACAATACCTCAGTAATTAGCATGCTTCTAAGAATGTGTCTTTTAGGGTAGGAGTGTCACTAGAATCAGAGATAGTAATTACTCTTGAGAATATCCATTTTTGTACCAAGAAGTAGTTAGACGATCCGCCTCATAGATATATTGATAGCTGGTTAATATTACAAAAGCAGTTGTTATACAAGTTCATTCATTCATGTTGGTCATGTCAACTCAAAATGAGTCAAATAGGGTATTTGACAAAATCTGCTTCATTTATTAGTGGGTGGAAGCTGATCAGATAACTCCCCTTTTGTAGCAGGGTTGATTATTTTCTTCTTCTCCTCATAATCTAGATGGAGCGTACTTGTTTCAGTGGACATGCTAGCTTTTTGATGGTAGATATAAAAATGTGCATTTTAAGCCTGCCTTTCGAGTTCCGATTCATTGTTTAAACTAAGCCAAGTTTTGGAAATTTTCTGGGCCAAAAGTAAATACACTGGACACACCCTTTTTATTGATCGATACACACATAATTCCAACATGAAAATTTGAAGTGCAAAATATACTGGAATGCTAAACTCATAACCACCCTGCTATTTCTCCTTTTGAAGCATATAGATTTTTAGAGACCACTTTTCCTGTTTTATCAACAAATGGTCAAACATGGAAAGGGCATGGTTTACGCTCAATGGCCATGGATCATTAGAAATAGCATAACTTGTTGGAGATGTATAAATTTGTACTGTCCCACACATAAGTCATAAGTGCCTTTAATCTTCTATATATACACGATGGTTATATTTACTGGTGGAATGAAGTTCAAATCCTCCCTTTACTACCTTTCATCTATATCACTACTAGGAAATACCTTTTTTCTTATTTAGACAAGGATATACATCCTGGTTTTTTGTTATGTAATCTTCAATTCATCAAATGACTCTGAAATTTGCAAAAAATATTGGAATCTGTTTTTTTAATTGGTTTATGTATAAAAAGGGGACATGACAGAGTTTGGTTTTTCTAGAGGAATAGGTCGGCATAACATGAAATTTTCTACTATAGCTAATTTCTCCTCTGTATTTGTTACGTGCACATGCTGTATACGAGTACATGCTCGTGATATCTGAGTCTGTCGTAGTTCCATTACCTGACTGCATTTTTACTATGGAAGAGTGAAATTTATAAGGTAGCATAATTGCTTCATAAGATAAAATTAAATCTTTAATAATTGTATATTTGCTTCATACTGTTATTGTAATCACTGATTGTTGGCATTATTTCCTCGAAAAATCAGGCCCCTCCAGCTTTGTCATCTCTGATTCTGAAGAAAGATCAGGATGGAGCTGGATCTGCTGGCATGAAGTCACTGAGGGCAGTTGCTCTCCTGGGAGCAGGTTTATCAGGGCTTTTGAGTTTTACAACTGTTGCATCTGCTGATGAAGCTGAGCATGGTTTGGAATGTCCAAGCTATCCTTGGCCTCACCAAGGGATTCTCAGTTCATACGACCATGCTTCGTGAGTTCTTTTAACCTTGTCATGCCTCACTTTGCTTTTTTCTAATTTAAAGTTGTGCGTGGCATTGTTCTAACCATTTCATCAGCTTGAAACTTATTTAAGTGTAACTTGGTCAAGAATTAAGAAGAACCTAGTTCATTGTATTGACATGGATTTTCGAGTGTTGACATGACTACTAATTTTATCATATACTAATTCACTGCGGTTCATACTTTTCTCTGGGACTAACTTTATCATACTTTCCTCTGAAATGACAACTAATGTACTTGTCACTTGAGAGCATAGTGCCAAATATTCGCAGCTCAATGTGTTCATGTACTGGATCCTTTCTCTGGCAATTGATTTTTTGTATTTTAACCTTGTCATGCCTCACTTTGCTTTTTTCTAATTTAAAGTTGTGCGTGGCATTGTTCTAACCATTTCATCAGCTTGAAACTTATTTAAGTGTAACTTGGTCAAGAATTAAGAAGAACCTAGTTCATTGTATTGACATGGATTTTCGAGTGTTGACATGACTACTAATTTTATCATATACTAATTCACTGCGGTTCATACTTTTCTCTGGGACTAACTTTATCATACTTTCCTCTGAAATGACAACTAATGTACTTGTCACTTGAGAGCATAGTGCCAAATATTCGCAGCTCAATGTGTTCATGTACTGGATCCTTTCTCTGGCAATTGATTTTTTGTATTTTGGCGTTATACCATGAGCAGGATTCGACGTGGTCACCAAGTGTACACACAAGTATGCGCATCCTGCCATTCGATGTCCTTGATTTCATATCGCGACTTGGTGGGGGTGGCATATACAGAAGAGGAAACAAAGGCTATGGCCGCTGAAATTGAGGTGGTTGATGGTCCAAATGATGAGGGTGAGATGTTTACACGCCCTGGCAAGCTCAGTGATCGATTTCCCCAACCTTATGCAAATGAGCAAGCTGCTAGATTTGCTAATGGAGGGGCCTATCCTCCAGATTTGAGTCTTATTACCAAAGTAATTTCTGCCTGCTTTAGTTTTTGACAGTTCTGTTGGCATGCCACTAGATTCTTACATTTTGTTGCTTCAGGCTCGTCATAACGGACAGAACTATGTGTTTGCGCTTTTGACTGGCTACCGTGATCCTCCTGCTGGTGTTTCAGTGAGTTGTGAATCTATTTGCACACTTTTTCCATTTTACCATTTATTTACTTCGTTAAAGACTTCATCGGGGCTGACATATAATGCGCATTAGAGAAGAAAATCAAATGCATATGCTTGATATGCACACTCATAAATGAGGTCAAGGTTTTCTCTATTTATATGCCTTCGGGAGGAGTAAACTATGAGGGAAGATGAAAACAAGGTTTTAAAAGGTGGAATCGGGCCCCGAGACATTTTCCCTCTACGAGGGGAGGCGTAAGTGTCGAGGCGAGTTGAGGTGTAAATTACTACATCTACGAGGCTAGGCGTAAGCCCCAAGGCGGAAATATATATATATACACTACACACACATATATATACACATTATTTATATATATATATATATATATATATATAATACTAAATTACTAAGAGACCGTGGTTGAGTGGTTCTTGATAGAGGAAAAGGTGAAACCGTGAGATAGGCTGAGAGGGTGTGGAAAAATTGGCTGCTTGGAGGAAGTGGGAGCGTCAAACCACACTTTTTGATTGAGAGGAGAAAGTACTAGCTTTTTGGGTTTTAAAATATTGAAAGTACATAGTGGGGCCAGTGGGCTTTGATTTTTTAGTTTTTTAAATAAGATAAGTACTACTACTGTCATAAAGCTTATATAAGAAAGTCAAAAAAACTCATTACCAAAGCAGATCATCAGAGGCATACGCCTCAATACCGCCTCACGTCTCACCGACCCGCCTCACTGAACCAAGGCGTAAGCCTCGTCCAGGGTCCAAGATGCGCCGCCTCGGGTGCGTTTTTGGGCCGCGTCTCCTAGAGGTGCGCCTTCAAATGCTTTTTAAAGCCATGGATGAAAGTATATGTTTAAGAATATCTTTTACAGATTTACAGTTATGTTAGTCGAGAGACTTTGTTCAATATCAAGAAGTTTTGCGGTAGCATGCTTTAGCAGTTTTAAATTCATTTCAAAGACAACTCCTTCCATACTCGTTGGACGTGTTATCATGCTGATTAACCAGAAATGTTTGAATTGAAATAAAAAGGGTATGTAATCATGAAGTTTTATTTGTTCCAAGTGGGCTTCAATAGTAGTTCTTCGTTTTAATATTTGCTGGGTACTACCCTTGTATGTGTTTTCTAAATACATTTCTTGTCATATGTTTTCTTTGTAGCCATGGGAGCTGTTATTCCACTAGTTGTCACATCAAGAACTCATTTAAGAGAGGATCCATAATCATTAGTTTTAACTGTTATTGTGCACACATGTAACTTTACCATAAGTAACTATAATTTGTTTGTTCTTGTTTGTACTTCAGTTTTACATCCAGTGATTCCACTTAATGAGCCAACATCTATTAACGTATTGCAGATCAGGGAAGGTCTTCACTATAATCCTTACTTTCCTGGGGGAGCTATTGCGATGCCTAAAATGCTTAATGACGGTGCTGTAGAATATGAAGATGGTACTCCAGCAACAGAGGCCCAGGTTGGTTTCTCCTCTTATCATGCTAATGACTTCATGGGCGGCTTGCACGTGTTTGTTCTCGTGTGCTCTGGTGTTCTCACACTTTGGAATTTTTTTATTTTACGTTTTGTAGATGGGAAAAGACGTCGTGTCCTTTTTGAGTTGGGCTGCAGAACCAGAAATGGAAGAAAGGAAACTGGTACAAATCCTTCAAACCCTCCAATTCTATGAGAAAATCAGAGATTTTTTTAGCTTTTACAAGTTCCTTGGTTTGATAATTTGAAGTATAAGGGAAGGAAATAACTGTTTCTTCACTAAAAAAACACAAAAAGAGGGAAATATTGATTCTGAGGTCAAATGTACTGATTTCCACATTGAAATCAATTTGTGACAAGCCTTTATCCGAAATTAGTTGGTATAGGCTAAAAATGGTGAATAACATTATAGATTAAACAATCAAATCCGTAGGAGATAAAGATTGTACTACCACATGCTCGAAACACTCTCCCATAGCTTCATCCAATGACTCATAAGCTTGATACCTCTAAAATTGGTATACTATTGGATGTTTCACTTATTCCTCGAGGCCAAGACCACTGTACTCTTCTTTTTAGTAATTTTCTTTGTTATAAATATGCTATTGAACATATCAGTGACCCGTACTATGGCTATATTGTTATAAATATGCTATTAAACATATCAGTGACCCGTACAATGGCTATCTCTTCGAGGCATCTTCAAACCTGAAACGTCACTCACCTCAGATACCCTAATCCTCAGTTTTAGTATAAAAAAGAAACCACCAATCTCAGTTTTAGGGTGTGTGTGGTATGTGGGACAGGACAAAACAAAAACTTGTCCCATGTTTGGTGCAACCTTAGACTTGGACAGGACATAACTGATTTGTCCCACCAAGATCCAAGATAGGTATAACAAAAATTAGGGAGATCGGATACGGTATGTGACTTAGGGCTTTCCTGTTAGCAGCTTAATGAGCTTAATGGGACTCGCAGCTTATTCGGTCAGCTCTACATGACTATTTGTTAGTGGCTTAATGATATAGAAAGTGATTTATTCAGTAAGCTTCTAGAGGCTTTCTACTTCATTATGCAGAAAGCCAAGTTTTATTCCATCCCAAACAAAAACCTTCTCGATCTATACAAATGGGTTAATCCACAGACAACTTTATCATACCGATTGTTAATGGAAAACCAACCCAACAGCCCCTTACTAAATTATAAAACCCGCCACAAGTTTTTCACCCACCTACCTCACTCTCACCTGTCCAATCATGTCTCTTCTGCATACCAAACACCCTCATTGAGATAACGAAGTGGTAACCTCACCTTTCTTTAACCTTCGCCTCTTACTATCATATCATCTCTAATGCATTTGATTTGCTTGATAACGCCTAGTTTTTGTTTCCCTCCTCTTAGTGAACTTGTGAATGCCCCCCTCTCTTTATTTTTTCAAGTTTCTGGTCTAAATCCACATATGTTTTGACCCTTATTTTCTCTAATTACCATATTACAAAACTCTTATATTTCGGAGTTGAAACTTTTGTAACACAACCAATACCTTGTGTCCATCTTTACTTCCTTCACTTTCTTCGATTGTAAGTTGTCATCATGCCTCACACTGTGTGTTGGGATGCAGATGGGATTCAAGTGGATATTCGTACTGTCATTGGCCTTGCTTCAAGCCGGTTACTACAGGCGTATGAGGTGGTCTGTTTTGAAGTCCCGTAAGCTCGTTCTTGATGTCGTCAACTAGAGCTCTCCTCCAACAAGAAGAGGACTTGAAATGACAAATAATTATTTCTGTTAAAGAATTCCTTGCAATTTTTTTGTACTAAAATTGGTACACAACCAGTCTTTTGGTTCTTACAGTTTTGGAATTTTGGGGCAATTAATAAGGTGATTTGGTACTGTCTGCTTTATTCTTCCTTTTTGGTACGATCTTTAATGTCTTTGTCTGTTCAGCTTTCCCATTTTTGTTACATATAAATATAAATATCAACATCAACATCAATATTTTCTTTTTTACATGTGAAATCTTCTGAATTATTCTAAAAAGGTAATAGCAAAACTTATGAAGTTTGAATGTCACATCTGCTATCATTTCTTTAGGAGTGATGCTTATTGATTGGGAATCCTAAGTCACTTGAATGGAATATTTAAACTCACAATAAATTATGTTTTTTTTTGTCCTTGTGGTTTTTTAAAAGTTGGTGCTTTTTTTTATTTATTTATTTATCACAAGGGTGGTGTTTGATTGGTTTGAGTTTGTCTTCAAATGTCAAAAGTACTAGGAGGTCTCAGATTCAAATTCAAGGAGAAATAAAAATTCCCTTGTGGTCACGGAGATTTAAATGCGGTGACTTCGGGCTATCTGCAAAACAGGTGGTTGTACTGGGATTAGTCGGTTCGCGTAACAGATTGGATATCCATGTTAATAAAAAAAGTTGTGGTTTTTGTTCTCGTGGTTTCAAAATTGCGTTTTTCATTCTTGTAGTATCTAATTCATTGTTGTTTTCGTTCCTAAATCTAAAACAACAATGAATTATAAATTACATGGATGATAAAGCAATAATCTTTTTAATCACAAGGATGAAAATAATACAAGGTTGTAAACCGTAATTTCAAAATCACAAGAACGAGGAGAACAAATTTCAACAAATCACAAGGAGGAAAAATTTGCCAAGGCTTTGTTTGTTTTTTTTTTTAATTAACAAAAGCTCTTATTAGTCTCTTATGTTTGATTCGTTAAGAGATATGGTCATTCAGACTGTTTGTTTTTTTCAAGTTTTTAGAGGCACTTTTATCTTATTGTCCTCTTATTTGGTAAGAGGTAAACACCAACCTCGTATTTGCCTCTTATTGTTCTCAAAACCTTTAGCAACATAGTTTCTCAATTAATTAACCTTAATCGATCATTTATCTCAATTGATCATATTACCAAATCGATCCTCACATTTCTCAATTGGTTTATTTTAATAGGATTTAAATGTGTTAAATAACGTTAATGACATATTTTCGTTTAAATAAATGCTAATTATATAATTTAAATATAAATTTCATAATGATTACGAATAAATATGTGAAATTATGTAAATTTATCTATAAATTCAACATTATAATTTTCTAATCAGTAAAAAAGACAATTTAAATAAATTCAGACATTAATCAGTTTACAAAAACAAACAATTTATTGATTCAACTAATGACTTATTTAGAGTGTTTTTAATCATGATTTATAATGAATGGATTCATGATTTATAATTAAAAATTATAGTGAAAGAGAATACTTATTCATTTATTAAATTAGTCTTGGGGGTCATATAAAGTGGTGGGGGAACCTCCCCACTTTTTTTTTTTTTTTTTTTTCACAATGGTATAAACCATTTCTTTTCATGTCGTATTGTTAGTGTCGGATTTAGAAATTTTATAGACTGAGGTTCTGTGAAAAATTCTACAGTGGAGAGTAAAAGTAAGTTCTGTAAAAAATAAATTTTAACTTGGGTATATTTTGTTAACTTTTTGCTGTCTCCGTCCCTGAGTTATTATATTCACATGCTGTTAAACAAACTAACCTTAATAGAAGCATTCGATTCTTCTTCCATATTTATCGATAAAACAGGAACATTTACACAAATAACCATTTCACAAAAATTGATTTCTCTTTTTAGTCATTTTAGACACCTTTTTTCTTGAATAACTAAAGTTTATACTAAAACTTTACGCAGAAAGGTAATTTATGTTTAAAGTCCGTTTTTAAGCTAAAAAAAAGAAAAATAATTAAAAAGGTAATTCATGCGGGGGGGAAAGAAACTCTATGCAAGAAAAATGAAGAAAATAAGACTTTACGCAGCGTAAAGATTCTGATAGATTAAAAAATTTATATTTTATGTTTTATAATTAGTTATTTAATTTACTTTATATCTCTTAATTTTTTATTTTTTATTTTACACATTTGTTATATTGACACACATAACCGTATATTAACTAAAATACATAAAAAATACATTTTTCTCCACAAATTACACCATTATAATCGTCTCTTCAATACATTCAAAATGAGTCAAATATTGAATACTTTTTAATTTAGTTTTATATTCTTAAATATCATAAACGAATTATTTTTAAAACTCACATTTACTACCCTTATGGTTATTTATTTAATTAATGTATTGATATATTTTTTTCTTTCCATTTTACACCTTTATTATGTTAACACACATAATCAGTAATTATAAGAGTATAAAATGTAAGTATTAAAAATAATTCGTAAGTTTTATAATATCTAATAATATGAGATTAAATCTATAAATATTCAATATGTGGTTTATTTTGGACGTATTGATGAGACGGTTACAATAGTGTAATATGTATAAAAAAAAACGTATTTTTTCATGTAATTTGCAAAAAAAAAAAAAACGTAAGTTTTATAATATCTAAAAATATTCAATATGTGGTTCATTTTGGACTTCCTCCTTTTTGTCGGTAAAACTCCCCACCTTCTCCCTGGTCTCGCTTCACTATTCCACTCTTTCAATCCACCATGAACGACAACATCGGGTGGTTAGCGTGTCATCTACGTTGTTGTCGATTTTCACCTAAACAACAACTTCCGTCACCATCTATGGAAAAACCATCCTCGTCCCTTCCATTTCACATCTCTAATTAAAAACTTAAAGTTTGTTTACACCCAAAGTTTTTGTGTGGTTAATTTTGGTTTGATTTTAACCTTTAATGGTTTTGTGTTTCTAAAATGACTAAGTCGGGTCAAAGTTTTGATATGTGTGCTTTATTGGACTTACAACAGGTTTTGTGTATAAGGCTGTAAATGAATCGAACAAATATAAGCGGAGAATTGTTCACGTTCGTTTGTTTAACTTAATCGAACAAACGAACGGTAAAGGAACGGGGTTTTTTGTCTTCTTGTTCGTACGTTAAGAAAAAAGTGTGTGTTCGTATTTATTTATGTTTGTTCGTTTATTTTTAAACGAACGGACATAAATAAACATAAACGAATTACAACATTTCTTTTCCGAGTTTATTCAAATGTTATCACATTAACAAATTACACCATTATAATTATGGATTAAAGTTGAATCTAATAAATGTTTTTTGTCTTTTAACCAGATGTATAATATTGTGAATATGAATGTTATGAACATATTGACATTTAGATAAATTAAAAAAATTTAATTTAAATTAATAAAATAACTATTTAAATTAATTTTTCTTTTTATCTAAAAATAGTACACGTACTTGTATACTCTGTCGCCCCCTTTATCTGAAACGTACATAGCTTATCATGATTCATAACACATTAATTAGTCGTCAGAATAATGTGAAAAGGGCAAAGTAGAGGACCCCACGAGCAACTAAAACTCAAAAGCTGTGCCATTTATTTTTATATATTTTGATAATAGTAAACATAATTTATTTTTATACGATAAGATTTGTTTTGGAAAAAAGTCTCTTAATAAATTAATTTTATGAGTTAAACTTTTTGAGTTTACGTAATGAATTTTTTTTTTCTTATGCACATTTTTTTATTTTAATTTTCAATCTTTTATTAAAGTGAGATATATCAAATTCAACTGTAATTCACCAACACTTTAATACTTAATTTTTATGATGCACTTAATTATCTCTTGTTTCTTCTTTTAATATATATAATAAGATAATAAGATTTGTTTTGAAAAAATTGGATCATTCAAATAAGCCAACCTTATTACTCAAGTCTCATAAGTTGACATAATATAAAATTTGTTTTAAAAAAATAGGGTTATCCAAATAAGATAACCTGAGTCAAACCTCTTGAGTTGAAACAATGATTCTCATCATTCTTTCTTATACACATTTTTCTTATTTCAATCTTTCAATCTTTCACCAATGTGGAATACCTCAAACTCAACCACAATTCATCAACATCTCAATATTCAATTCTCATGATACCACCTCAATACTCTTAGTTATTTCTTTAATATATATATATATATATATATATATATATATATATATATAAAAGAGTAAATTACATTAGTCCTCGTCTCTTGTTAAATATTGTTTATCAATTTTTTATACAAATAATAATAATCTTCAATTTTTTTATTAGCCTGGATATTTAATTTGTTATACAAGTCGACTAATTCTAAGGTGACCACCTGCTTTGTGGGTAGGTTGAAGTCACCACATTTGAACCTACAAGACCAAAAGAAGATTTTTATTCCTTCTTAGATTTTAACATGAGACATTCAAACACTTTTAACCTTTGAAGCCAAAGTTCAAACCAATCAGATATCATCATTATGATTAATAATCTTCAATTATAATCAACATTAAACAATATATTATATAGCTTCTTTTAAATCAGATAATGAATATGACAATAACTGATAATCTTATACAGTAAGACTCATAGGAAATATCGAGAATCTTAATCGACAAATGAGGGTGGTGATTTTTACCCAATTAATACTTATCGGATAAGATTCTCAATCCTTGTCATGTTCATCTGAAAGATAAATGACCTAAAAACGTTTACCGAATAAGCATTTAATAAGTGAGCCTTAATGTTAATGTTTGTGACAGATACCCCATCGTTCCAAAATAAGTGCACACAATTAAAAAATCATACAATTTTACTTTTAGACATACATAATTAATATTCTCTTTAATTAATCAAATGAAAACTTTAATCTTATTTAATTTCTCTCTATTCACAACTTTTAAATATTTATGTATTAATTAAGGATATATTAGAGAATTTAGTTATATGTTTTTAATAGCATAAACTTATTATAAAATCTATATTATATTTTAAAGCATTTGACAAAAAACTTTTAAAAACCACCTTTTACGCGTAAAATAATGTTTATTAATGCATATTACTTAAAACTTAAGATTGCAAGTAAATTGTGCGTAAATACAACTTATTAAAACTCCATATCTAAATTCGTGTAACTAACTGCAGATAAACATAATCAAATACAGGATAAACATCTCATTTTAAATATAAAAAATTTGAAATATAATTAGCATAATCATTGAGTTATAAYAAAATATTTAAATATTATCTTTATAAAATGTTATATTATTAAACCAAAAATAAATTATTTTGTTATTAAACTTAAATTAAATTATAATAAAAAATAAATTAAATTATAAAAAATAAAACTTTTAAATAGTTAATTTGAGTTTAACATTGATATTTTTTTTTTAATTTCTTATGATATATTTACATTTATATTTTATTCAAAAATAAAATCATTATTGTTTTTTCTTAAAAACACATAAAATCGTATTATAACATCAATAAAGACAAATAATAAAATAGAATATTAAAATCAAAATGTGTCACGTTGCATTACGCTAATACTCTTCTAATAAACATAAATTAAAATATGGATAATTATTTTAAAATTGAAAGGATTAATTAATAAAAATATTCAATAAAATGGAGTAGGGTTCAGTTCACCTTAAAATAACGGAGCTCATTTTGTCCATTTGTTGCGTTGTCCCAATTTCTGTCACCCTCCACCTACATATTTTAACCACACATCCATCCATTCAATATCACTCTCCTGATAATAAATTAAATATATACTTTTTAATAATATAATTATTTATTTGGTAAAAAAGAAAGTAATATTATAAATCAACAACCGGTAGATTTTTATATAAAATGAAGCGAAAATTTTGAGAAAAAATCAGTGAATTATTTCATTTCGAATAATTGTGTTTATGAATAATTTCATCCATTGAATTTTTTTTAATGGAAAAAATTATTAAACTTTTTCATTTTTAAATAAGTCCTAAACATTTTTCTAATAAATAAATCATGAACTTCTAAAACGGGTTACTCACATCATTATAACCCTAAAAACTACATACAATAACCACAAGAGTGGTGTCGGATTGGTTTGAGTTTGGCTCCAAAGGTCAAAAGTACCAGAAGGTCCCATGATCAAATTCAATGAGAAATAAAAATCCTCTTGTGGCCACGGAGGTTCAAATGCGGTGACTCCGGTCTATCTGTAAAGCAGGTGGTGTTCTTAGGATTAGTCGGTTCGCATAGCGGGTTGGATATCCAGGTAAAAAAAAAAACTACATACAGTTGAGTATAAAATTCTTAAAGTAAAACTAGTTGTAACCGCCTAAAAACAAATCAGAAAGAGGGACATCGATGTGCAAAAAAAAAACCATGTGATAGCCGATAAGAAGAAATGACAGTGATGAGGCGACCAATAAGTGGCAAACGGGAGTGATACCGTTGTTAGTGAGGGGTTTTAAGGGCATATGACTTGAAAACAGTAAAAACTAATTTAGGTTTCTTTTACTTTAAGGTTTTTCTAAATCGTTAAAAACAGTGTAGGTAATCAATTTTTAAAAGTTTGATATTTTTTAGTACAAAAAGATGTTCAAGAATTTAAATGATTTTTTCATTTAAAAAATAATTTAGGAACTATAATCGGTTATCTTTTGATTCTTCTTTTAAGGAATAAAAAATATATCAAAAAGAGGGAGATCGATGCCTAAGCCAATAATGTCTTAAGAGATGTGTAGAACAAGCAACATTGAGGCAGAAGGGAGGTACGAGGGGGAATGGTGAGGTGTTTAGTGTCGTGGGTGGTGTTTGAAAACGGTAAAACTGATTTACGTTTGTTTTGTGCTTTAAAATCTTCCTAATTAGTTAAAGATAGCTTTTTAGAAAAAGATATAGATAACAAATTTTTTAAAGATTGATGTTTTATTTAGGGGTGTTTGGGATTGCTTATAAAAACAACTTATTGACTTATTCCGGTGTGACACCGGTAAGAAACACTTTTGAATGTTTAGATAAACAACTTATACCAATGCCAAAATAAACAGTTTTTTAAAAAGTTAAACCCTTCTAACTTATAATAAGTTGATAAGTAATTTTATAGAAAAACATAAGAAGTTTCAAATAAACAATCTCAAACACCTCCTTGAAGCAAAATAAATATTTAATAATTTAATCATTTAAAATAAAGCTTAATTATGTTTTTATTTAAATAAATAATTAAAAAAACTTAATCATTTAAAATAAAATAATTTATTGCATTTTTTTATTTTTCCCAATTTTAAAATCACATGTTCAACTTTTCTCTAAATGAAATACACTCGACTCACGTGCATAAAATGGCGCGTGGAAGAAAAGCAGAATCGTTGACAGGGGACACGCGTCTCATATCTGACAGAGAAGCACTTACTATTTTGTTACACCCGAAGCACATACGTGTCCTCTTTTAATGGGGAAGTGCTTCAGAAACGTGTCACTCAACCTTTCGTCAACCAATCAACTCCCTCACACGCTTCATCTGGTGGGACCCATAAAAAATCTCTGGCGGGCCAATCACAGCTTCCGGATGCAATTTGTTGCCCTCGACACGTGTAACTCCCACGCACCGGCGACCGTTTTCATCTTAATCCATCATGATTATCCTCCGCCCGGGCATATTTCCGGTTTCTTTTAGAGAGAGAGAGAATCTAGATGAAGAGATAAGGATTGAAAGGTAGGTATGGACGGTGAAAAGAGGCGCGTTGACTCCCGGTGCATCGCCGCCGATGGCAAGGATAATACGATAATCGATCAGATTATGCTGAGATTCCGTCCGATCGCACCGAGGCCGGTTACTGTTGAGAGTTCCGGTCATGCGCTACCGTCGAAGGACTGGATGCTTAAGAGGAAGAGAGTAAAGAGGAAGTACGTGAGAGTGAAGAAGAAGAAAAGGGCCGCAGGGTGTAGTTTGACGATAAACGATAACAAAAGTTGGTTCGGTTTGGACAGAGCTGTTGCGATGCTCGAGGATTCTAAAGGAAATGAGCTGGTTCTAACAGATCCGTTGCAGAAAGTGTCGAACTGGATCAGTTTTGATGTACCTGAAAATAACAGAAAAAGTATCATGAGGAATTTAATAAATTATGATCCGCCGGATCATTTGTCACCAGATCTGCATGGCGTAGATCTGGCTACGGCGGTGCGAAAAAGGAAAGTAGTGGAGTCGTGGATCACGATAGAATCGGTGACCGGCACGTGTGAGGATCGAAGGCTGTTAGGATACACAGACGAAGAGATATGGAAGAATCTAGAGAGTGACAGCTGTCCAGGTTTCATATCTAACAGTTTTGATGAGGTCCTGTGGGTGAATCCGGCTTACCGGAGGATGCTGGATCTGAATTCTGAAGATGAAGCACCGGCGACTGAGGTGGCGGTGTGGCTGAGGTTAAAAGTGGAAGAATCCACGGTGGTAAAATACCTGCCAGCTTTGTCATGCAGAGTTAGAATTGTGTACCGATTATCTGAGAAGAAGACGCAGATGATGGTTCCTTGCGACGTCTGCAAGATGGATTCCGGTGGCTTTGCTTGGCGGCTTGATGTCAAATCTGCTTTGAGCTTGGGGCCATTGAGTTAACTAATTCGATCAAAATCAAATTCCCAAACAGGTAAATTGATCAATCGAATTAAAAACATCATAGCATACATCCAGTATAAAAATAGTAGATACATATATTATATAACAAGAGAAAATATTGAATACATTAGACCATATCATCTCCTGCAGATGTTGATCCAACTTAACAAACCCATGGTTTCTGAAAATTGCTCGATGTATGTAGTTTTTAACCGTGGTTGTATTCAATATTTTCTCTATATCTGCATATGATAATAATTGGACCCATTGATCATTGGCAGCTGCTGCATAAAATCTGTAACAAGGATAAGAACAAATTGACTGTGGCTGCTTGGACCAAGCTTCAATTACATATAGTTTTAGTGATCTCAAAAAGGAAGATTCTATATATTTCTTAAAATCAAGTTGCATTTCTTCCTTTGGTGATCCTTATCTTGCTAATGTAATATATATGGTTTGATATAATTAATAAAAGTAGATGAAGATTTTATATCATACCCCAAGTTTATCCACATAACTTAGTGACATTATACATGCATCAGCTATTTTTTTTAATGTGTCATATATAGTGATATGATATCAGTTTATGGAAAATTTCTGTTAGTTTATATGGTTAATGTATGGAATTGAAACAAGCTGTTAGGTATAAAGTATAACCCACTAAAAATAGGAAGTAAAATTTGTGCGTGTGTTGGTCCGAAAACCTCGGTTAGTCCAAAAATATTTAGGTTGCTAATGCTATATTTACCTGAGAATCACGTGAGATGGGAAGAAGTACGAGAATCTTGATCACCGGCCTGAGGTTTTTTTCCCTTGTTTCTCTTAGAGGGAGGGGATAAATTAAGAAGACTTGAAGACAGACTTCCCCTTGTGTACATGTGACAATCTATTCACCAATTCTTATTAAAAGTAGCAGCAACAGGCTATGTCTATATTATACATAATATTTAGTAACATTTATATATAGTTTTGATGAGACACAAAAGAATAATGCTTGGTGGTAAACAAATACCAAATATGATATCTTTATATAGTTGGAAGTTGGATGTTGGTTTTGGGTAAAAGAATGATACTCGGCACAATAACCTACAAATTACACCATTTTTTAGGTTTTAAATTTCAATTATCATTGGTTTTTATTGACCTAGGTAGGTAACCATGATCGATCTTCTTTCCGATGCTCACCTGTAGAATCAATACACCTTTTGAATTTTATATTATATATATATATATGCATGTATATACATATAAATACTCATCCCTCATATTCCCCATAAGGACCATAAGTATAATTAGACACTTGGCCTTTATTGTTCTCATTATTACAGTAACATTCCAATCATTTTCACAAGTCATGTCGGAGTATGATTCATCAAAAAAAGAAAAAGAAGCACGGAAAATGATGTAAACAACCATTTTATACGACTTTTTTTTACACAAAATAACCAGTTTTAAGGGTTTTACAAAACTAACCATACGGATCTCCCCCGGGACGATCCGGCCTTTTTCTTAGAATTTTTTTAAAAAAAAATTCCACTTGGGGCGAGCCACATCATCGGATCGCCCCGGGGGGTGATCCAGACTTTTTTTTAATACCAATTTCACTACAAATATCAACCTCCTATTTCATAATTTTTCACACATTCCCTTTCATTTATCTTCTCATATATTCTACTCTCAAAACCCTTAACCCATTAAACACAATAAACCATCACAAAACATGAAATCACGTCAAAGTGATGATGTTTGTGTGTATCTTCGAAGATACACACAAACATCATCACTTTGACGTGATTTCATGTTTTGTGATGGTTTATTGTGTTTAATGGGTTAAGGGTTTTGAGAGTAGAATATATGAGAAGAGAAATGAAAGGGAATGTGTGAAAAATTATGAAATAGGAGGTTGGTATTTATAGTAAAATTTGTATTACAAAAAAAGGAAAAAAAGCTTGGATCGCCCCCGGGGGTGATCCGATGACGTGGCTCGCCCCAAGTAGAAAAAAAATTTTTAATTTTTTATTCTAAGAAAAAGGCCGGATCGCCCCCCCACTAGTACGGATCACCCCCGGGGGAGATCCGTGTGGTTAGTTTTGTAAAACCCCTAAAAACTGGTTATTTTGTGTAAGAAGGTTGTATAAAGTAGTTAGTTTTGTCATTTTTTCCAAAGAAGTATTTCATTTAGTTTTATTTATTTATAGTGTTCGTACTTGGTAATTAAGGAACTGGGTTACTAAATCTTAGTTCATGAGTCACCCATTTCAAAATTCTATGTGCATAGAAAATATTATGGTATCAGAATTGGTTTGACTCATGGGTTATTTATTAAATATTTATTGGGTAAATGTTTACTAATATCGTTTACGTTATTGATTGAGCATGTCAAGGATAGAGAACATTACCCAGTAAGAGGCATGACAAGATCGAAATTCTTACCTGGTAAGTGATGAAAACGACTCTTACATGTTTATAGAGCATATCAGATTTAATCTGCTTATCAACAATCTATTTTGATGACTAATAATGTTACACGACAAGTATGAATAATATTTATTTGTTGGTAAACATGTAGTAAACAACACTTAGAAATGACAACATAGGTGAAATAATTTACCTCAAAATTATGTTCGACTAATAAAGGAGTTATCTTTTAGAGTGCGTTTGGTACACTGAACAAAGATCCATGTCCCATGTTTGACATGATATTTATGTGGAACAGACAGGTTCAGAGTGGAACAAAGTGGAACAGACTTGTTCCACCCCTAACCTCAAAATAAACTTAATTCTCTTTTAGAACATCAAATAGGTCTCTCTTTTACATTTTATTCATTCTTTAAATTTTATTTATTGTACTTTATGTTTCTTAAACTTTCATTTTACTGCCATCAAAATATTATTTTTATACGGTTTCTATATTTTTATTAATTAATGTAATTTATTATATATTAATAATAAAAAATAATGTAGAAAAGAGATAAAAATAAAAATAGAAAACCACATAAACTTTTTATTTGGTGTTATTTTAATTGTTTTGACGAAAACTTTTATTATTAATATATAATAATGGATTCTTGATGCTTATATTATATTTATCTTTTTCATATATCATTAGTTGTTTATGAAATCATATATTTTTGCAAATATATTTTTGTAAGTAGTAGTGGTTTGATGTAAGTTATATTTTACACACCGTATTTATTAACATTTATATTGATTATTTAGTTAAAAAAACTAAATAGCTCAGTAGGGGTAAATTGGTCATTTTAATCAGTTATGTCCAGTCATGTCTTACCAAACGCTGAACAGCTGTCATGTTCTGTCATGTCTTGTTCTGTCTGCGTACCAAATGCACCCTTATTGGACAACTAATAAACTGTACGTAATTTTAGCTTTTGAGTCTTTGTATAAAATAAGTGTACAACATGCCACCGGTGTCTGTAAGATATGTATTAGTAGGTGACTTTATTTAAAAATATAAGAAACATAATGACATAATCAAGCAATTAGGGGCTGTTTGGAAACCTCTTAATGGTGACATTAAGAGGAAACCTCTTAATCGGTAAGAGGTACAAGCTATTTGGCAAAAAAAGAAGAAGCTCTTAATCGTTACAAAATCCTCTCAACGATTTAGGGGTTAGGGCGCTCCTAAATGGTTCAGATTATCTTCTTCCATTTTTGCCCTCTCAACAAAATTGTTCCCGCTCCTTTATTCCGCCTCCTCCCACTAGATCGTTCCTCCTCCCGCCTCCTCCCACTCGATCGTTCCCGCTCTACAGCCCCTTGTTGTCGCGTCGTCTCCCACACATGCTGTTGCGTCGTCTCCCACACAAGCTGGTAAGTTTTCGATCTCGCTTCCCACCTATTTTCGCCAACTTAACAGTGATCTGGTTGGGGCCTATGTTCTTGGCCCTCCCCACTTTCCTTCGTGATTCGCAGAAGCCCATAAATGTTTTCCCCAACTTAACAGGGCTTGGTAAAAATGAATGCTATGAAATCTTGGTGTTGATGAATGCTATGAAGGGATTGTATCCTTCATAAATCATCAATATGAATGTTGAACTAAGAGGTTTACTTGTTTACTATCTATGGAACTATTTGTGAATAGGGATACAAGTATTTACTTGTTTACTGTCATTTATTGCTATAAACTGCTGGAACAATTTTCATCCTTGGTGCCTGAAAGTGACATGAACTGCTGGATACAAGTATTTACTTGTTTACTGTTTGTTTGGAGATTTTGGTTTTAATGAATCATGCTTCCGTGGAACAATTTTCATCCAAGTATGGTACGCTAAAACTCACATGAAAACAAATAATCAAAATGTGCAACCTGGAAACAAACATACAGAAGTGAACTCCCTATGGTAACAATACAAGAATGAAATTCTTTCACACACTCCTGTATCAAACATTTTGATCGTTTCTTTTTTTGAAGGAAATTGGCATAGGCTTTCTTCATACTAAATCATACAGAGGGTTAAAATGATAATTTGTTGTCATTCAGATAACAGTTACCAAACAACATTATTTCATTCAGCACTTAACCATTCTGGCTTTCTTAACCATTCAGACCACTTAACCATTCTACACCAAACCATTCAGCAACTGCCAAACAGCTCCTTAATCAATCAATATTAATGTAAAAATAATATATTAATATAAAAATGAATAGTTTGTTGTTTTATCATAAAAAAGCAACCTCAAGTACGCAGCTCCTTTAAATTTTGAAAACGTCTGGTGTTCTAAGGCATCTACAAAGAATTTTCAAAAGGCTTGCAAAATGCCTTTAACATTGCCACCTAAAGTTTTCCTTGCAAATCGATTTTCAGAAATTTTAAATTCCACTGAATGAGACGTTGCCATCAAGACCATAAATATTTATTATATTACCAAATTATTTTAAATTCTTATAAAATTATCATTTTTAAATTTTTGATTAGATTAAAATAAGTTATTAAACTATAAAATAGTTCATTAGTTTTGTTATTTTAATACTTAATTACTAGACCAAAGTAAATAATTATTTTAATTATTGTTAAAATGGAATATTCCTACAATGTCGTTGAATAAATTGAAACATCAACTTAAAATTTCATTTAGTTGGTGTTTGTTTTTTAAAAGATGTTGAAGTCTAAAGTGTTATTTCACTTCTGATTAATAAGAATGAGTGCTGAAATCTGAAATCTGAATCAATAAAATTGTTTATTTTTATAAATTGACAAACGTTTGAAATCTTAATCAATAGTTTGTTTTTGTAAAATCGGGTGCAAACATTTTGTAAAATTCTCTTGATTTTCGTAAGATTTCCATTCTTGAAATTCATCTTAACAATTGTTTAACAGATGGAGCACAAGACTTCCGATGCTATCGAGAATGCTGCCATTGAGTTTATTTGCGGAAAGATCGATACTTTTGATAGAAGATAGATCGTCGATAGAAGTTCTTGTTTCACATTAATCTTTTAAGCTAACTTATTCGTACAGAAATTATATATATATATATATATATGTGTGTGTATATATATATATAGAGAGAGAGAGGGAGAGAGAGAGAGAGAGAGAGAGAAGGTTTGAGGTTACATTTCACATTGGTGATTAAAGGACAGTGGAGAAAGAAATAATAACTAAAGAGAATTAAAAAAAATGAAAAATAAAAAGAATTAAGATATTAGTTTACCTCTTATTTATTCAGACCCTATTAAGTTATAAGATACTCTGAAAATAATTAAAAAAAACCGTCTAGATTATAAAACATTTGAACAAATCACACATAAATGATAATTAAGAACTTAAAAATAAAAATAGAAACAAAGGACTTAGTTTTTTATAACATAAATTACATTATAGGATATACATAAAATATAGTTAAATGATGGTTAATGTAGTGTCTACTTTGTATTTTGTCAACAAAAATGTTAAATTATGTTACGTTTTATTTAG